TGGCTCCAATAAGGACTTTGAATCGCTCCTCTGGATCTTCTATGTACTTGGACATGAGCCCCTTTACAGCTGCATGGTTCTTCAGCTCGCTTTCCACAGCGGTGTAGACAAGACTGGCAAACTCATTGATCATAGAAATCGCTTGCGCTTCAAGAATGAGACCCGCGATATCCCCGTGCCTCCTATGGCTGCCAGTAAGTCCCCTCGCACCGTCCCCCCCCAAAAATAATCAAACCGAACACTTTCTGAGTAGATGACTAACGTCTAATTACCAAAACTCAGTCGAGATCGCCCACGTGCGCATGAAGGCTCTTCAGCTCATCCGTAAGGAAATGAAAGAAACGCTCGAAGACCATCTAAATGGCAGAGCGCGCTCGGATTTCGTCTGCTGCATGCGAAACGACGGTGCCAACGATCGCGGCTGGCGCCGCGACATTCTCGTACTCTTTGTGGACATGCTGCAGGCTCACCATATCTGGCCTCTCCCTTCCGTCAACGGGATGAAATGGAGCCCCAGAGACTTCGTGGAGCTGTTTCGTGTCAACGCCAACATCCCCGCCTTTACTCACTACGGTTTTGGCCGATTTTGTGACGCCAGAGGCACGCTCTGGGAAAGACTTGAGAAGAAAATTCTTCATCGACTTCGTTTCAATGCGGCTGCGGCGACTGCGAGCCATCTCAGAGAGCAGGCTATTAAATCCGGTCTTGACATACACTTAAGGCCGAATGAGGACATGCTCCAGCCGGAGCAGGGCAACTGGAACATGGATGAAATCTACCAGTTCCAGGAGAGTATGGCCAAGTATGGACGCACCCGGCGCTCTAGCTACCCTGCCTCGGTCTAATCACCATCATGGCCTACCTTTTGCATTATTCAGCCTAGTGCAAAATGGATTTCATCAGACGCCCCTATGACAATCGTTGTGGAGGTACTTATTTGATCAGGGCAGAGATCGGTGGCGGGAGATGTCTCATTTTCACGGAGTCTTTTCATCGGCGTTACGGAACTGGCGTGATGGATTCACAGGAAGGACGTGCTCGGAATATTCGGATTCACGAACCCATGACTACCCAACTCAGGACGGATTGTGTTTTTTTTTTTCGGAGTCGGAGTCGGAGTCTCAATGATTCTAATAACGGCAGGGTATGTAGTCCCCAGAACTTGATGCCGAATCGGTCTTCCTACCAGGAATAGGTAGTTGAGGGTATACCGTAGTTACACGATACCCGGTACCATAAAGTCTATGTTCCGCTTCCTCCCGTGATTCAAGTGAAACCGAGATATCCTCTTCCAGGTCGTAATACAGCTTCAGGGGCCGAGTAGCAATCTCGTAGTAGCACCATAAGTAACTGCACGCCATCCCTGCTCCCTTGTTTCCATCAATTCCCATTTCTCAGTGATTGTATTAATCAACGTGTGGGCTTGGCTTCACTGTTCATAACGGTCGTCATCAAGGTTCGATATATCCATCGAAACCGAATAGGCACACCATCAGAACCCAAACACATCATGGCTTCTTGGTCATGGCAGATCAATCTTAATTCGAAGGATCCGCATGAAGATCCGAATTCTGGTATTCAAAGGTAAACAAGCCAGTTACTGACTTGTACTAAACGAGAAGACGTAGCCGCCAAAACAATAAAGGGTTTATTCCAAACAAAAAGCATTCATTTCGAGGTAGAGATGGACGACTTGTTTAAAACCAAGGCGGCGGTGCCCTCGCCTATGTACGAGCTTGCATCGACCGCGCACTCCACGCAAGAAATCCACCTTAGGTCCGCTCCAGAACCCGAGGCCACCCCCACCGTCAGGGTGACGACATTTGCGGACGTGAATGTGCGACCCAAATGGAAGTATATAGGTTGATCTCGCAACGGCGCTTTGGCAATCAAAGAGTAAAGAGGCGAAGAGGGGACGGGGAGGCAGTTAAGAGATAACATCAAAGCGAAAATCTATTTTCTTTTCTTAGGGTATCATAAGTCCAATTCATCTTTTCGAACACAGCAGTGTCCCCAAAACGCCAGATCCCTCTTTATATATGATTTTAAGCCAAGTGTGATACTAGGAGTAGTGAAGCCGCATCGTATTATGCGCCAACTGTCCCTTCTTCTCCTTCTTTCTTTCGCAGAGCAGCCTTTATTCTCTTAGCTTGGCGCTTGCTCATTGGCTGGTCCTTGCCCTCGCCTTCCGGATTCGCGCGCCCATTCGATTTTGTCGAGATGAAGGGTTCAGCGTCGTCAACAACTTTCCTTTTCTTCTGGCCGGTAGAAGTGGTCTGAGCAACACCATTCCCGGCCCCACTTATCTCCACATCAGCCTGCTTGTGACGGTCCGCCAACCCCACGATGTCCACAACATTCCGGAAACCACTCCTCTTGAGCCCCTCGTTGACGACGACTCCGCGCGGGAGAGTATCTAACCCCTCCGTGGCGCGATCCGTCGATAGACCCCACACATGGAGCAAGTTCACGACGTCGGCGGGTGCGCGCAGCCCCATCGCGGACCGCGCTTCGCTGCTTATCACAATTCCACGGCCACGCGTCGCGCGAATCAAGGAGGACACGTTGCCGATGAAGGTAGCGCGGGCGCGGGCGTCGACACCTATCGGCACGCTACCAGCATTACCACCAGCACCAGCACCAGCACCAGCGCCTTCCTTCGCACCCTTGGGCCCGATAATATGCGCCGGGGCAGGCCCCTGCAGAACCTGCGAGTAGCACACCTCGAAGCGCACGCCGCGGTTCACGGCGAACATGCAAGTCTTCGGGCGAAAGACGAACGGCTGTCGTACCGTCAGGTCCAGCGAGATGAGCGAGACATCGTTTAGGCTCTGGCATGCGGCCGTAAAGCTTTCCTCGGTCTGTGGACGCACAGCTAGGATGTCATATGCGGTTGCGAGTTGTGGCAGGCGGTGATGTTGCGACGATTCAGTTAGGACGAGGGTTGCGCGACGGAGTACGGTGGGGAGTTTAGCTTGCGGTTGTAGTAGTGGTGTTGGCGAGACGCGATCAAATTTCGGGAGCGGATTTGTAATTTGTGGTGGTACTGGCGCGCCTATAGTGTGATTCAAGGCCACGACGTCGTAACCCAGCGATGCGCAGAAGCGAAGGCTTCGCTCGAGGTCTACGGCGCTTGTGTGGGGTGACCACGCGATATTGAGGTCGTAGAGCATTTTACAGATGGTATGGGCACAAGGCCCGTAGGCGCATCAGATGGGCTGTTCTATCTATCCGCCTGAGGTTCCGGTGAGTTTCAATAAGTAGTATTAAGGTGATCAGAGATCGAGATAAATTTCTTTATCAGATGCAGAAGAGGTAGGTAATGCATGATGTTTTGCATTACCAGATACTAGAAAGTATTAAACCAATTGTTTGAGTGCTTCCCCAGCTGCCGGCCAGCTGATATACAGTACGAAGAAGGCTTTCAAACGGTGTGTCGTTGTACAAGCTACATACGAAAGTCACTTGTTTTGTACTTTAATTGGAAGGAGTGATTCGTCTATTCATAGGTAAGGTACCTGCCGTCCATAGTGTAAAATGACGTATAACACGGAGTGACGCGGATGAGAGAAGAGAAGAGCCAGCACAGCCGACCTCGTGCCTATCATCTCCCATCATTTCTCATCGTCATCTCTTCACTTGCTTATAAGGCATTGACGTCCCAGCTATACGCGAAAAACTTCACTAGCATCACTATCAACCTAATCACTGAATTGTACATCACACCGAGGCGGTCTAGATCACCCTCAAGCCTATACAACTCTCACGATCATTCCCGACTTCGACCCTGTGTCTCGGCTGCACAGCGTGCAATATGTGTCTGATCTTCACGTGCGGCGAGCACACTTTCCGCAAGGAGGTCGAGGGCTACGAAGGCATTACCTGTCAGTGCCACAACTGCGGCAACTACTCTGGCCGCGTCATCAAGAGTAATCCATGGTTTACTTTCTGTTTTGTTGTGAGTGTCGCCTCTTACCACCTTTTCCTCTTTACTACGTAGCAAAACTCGTGATGCATTTGTTGGCGCGTATCGATAACATACAACCAAGCAAGCCAACTAATCCATTCATCGCGTAGCCTGTCCTGCCTCTCTCCTTCAAAGGCTACCACGATGTCTTGTGCCACATCTGCAATTTTGCCCAGCCGCTCGAGAATAGGCCCGACGTCATGAGTATGAGAGGCGGAGGCAATAATATTCCGATGCAAAATCATGGCGCACCACAAGGCTGGGGCGGAGGGCCACCGCCGAATCAGCCTACCATGCAATATAAATAATGCAAGCAATGGGGACGGCAGGGCGTGGCTCCTAAGGAGATGAAGCTAATGACGGTGTTCTAAGAGAGATTACTTGGTAACGGTCGTGCATTAGAATGGCGCTCGATGCGCATTCTGATTGATGGATTGAGATTGGCGCAATGGACGCGGGACAGAGGTATATGGACTCTGGCACATATTATAACACGGCGTTAAGGATCGGATGGATGGACGGATGGGCGGACGGACGGACGGACAGATGATGTTACTGACTTCAAGATCAGTACCACCAGTATCGCAAATCCGTACTAGTTTCTTTCTTGGCTTCATCGTGCTTTGCATATCGAATACCTGAGGGATCGGCTTCGTACTACGACATAATACAACGTTGCCTTCTATGTATTTTGAAGACAACCAGATACCGGTTGTTTCGGTGCTGTTTCTCGTGAAAGTCGCTCCCCGTGACCACCAACTGAGGATAATTATGTGTACGGAATAGGGGCTATTTTGTTCGTTACAGTGTACGTGACTGGACCAATACCTAGCTCAAGTGATGATTTCTCTGCGCCTCCGACTTATTGCCTTTCTCTTTCTAAGGTTCCAGACTATCCGATGATGTTCGTCAACATTTTCAATGATTGCCTAGCAGCTGAGGCTGGCAGGGAGAGCATAACTGATAGCCAGCCACGGGCCAGCCACGTTATATGGAGCTCTACGAGTCAATTTGCTTACCAATTAACTCCGATGGTGAGATGGCCGAGTGGTTATGGCGGTACGTTCAGGTATCAACCTGGATCTAACAAATCTAATCGATATTTCGTACTGGAGCAATCCGCGTGGGTTCGAGTCCCACTCTCATCAAAACTCATCTTTTGCTCCTCCAAAGTGGAAGAACATCGGTTTTTTTGTCTCCACTCTCTTTCTACATATTTCGGAGGTTTTGGTTTTGTCGGACTACGGATGCAAATGCTGCTATTTTTTAGATATGTGCAATGCTGTTAATGTGTAGACCGTGGCAATTCTCCTGTTAGTTTTTAAGGAGAATCATTTTCTCAATTTTAGCGAAAGAAAGCAGATGATCTCATCGCATGATGCCTAGTAAACCGTATATATTCGAGTTCTTTTAACCCGAAGCTCAGAAATCTAGCCTGTATCTGCTCATCACCTACCTAGGATGCCTCGAGGATGTGCTGTTAGTAGCAGCCGAGTCGCGGGGGGCAATGCCATCGTAGCAGGGAACGGGTTCACTTCACAGGACACCAGTACAATGGCAAATGCCCGAAGAACCACGACCATGGAATTCAAGGGTCGCAAGCGAATGCCCTGACGTAGCTTAGGCACAAAGGATGTGGAGATAAGCCATCCTTGGTTCCCGAGTCACGGTAGGTGTTCTTGTCTATATTGTATAAGCCTCCGCGTTCACCATGCTGGCGCTCGGCGAGGGCTCACCATACTGGGCCTTAGTAAGGTACCAATCAGCACCACGAAATGGTTAATCACGCGGCCAAAAAGTACCGATAACGGGACACACCCCGAGTGGCCGGGCTACACAGCAAGGGGGACAGACCTTGACTTCAAACTTGAAACTCAAGCATACCATTCCAGGACTCTCATCGACAACACTGTGCTCAGCTTTTATTCCACCCTCGGGGACCGCAACCTCACCCCGACACAGATTTCGGCACGCACAGAGCTCACCTCGCTCTACAAGGAGTCTCAGAAGCGCACGAAGCCCATCCGAACCAGAAAAATGAGAAAATTCATGAGTCTGGTCGACCAATATCGCGTATCACATCCTGAGACTGATGAAGATGTAAGCCCCCAGAAACAAAATAGTCGACATAGCCTTTTATTGCACCATTCAAGATAACCCGCGAAAAGCACAGATATTAGAATCCACAACGAAGACATGTATTGACTTACATGTTATAAGTAGGCCGTAGTCTCACATGTAACATTAGAGCACGCTTACTCCACTGCCAAATTCCCGTGAAAAAATGGACTTGTAGTACGTAGCTGTAATGGCGTTACTGCTCATGGCATGCAGAGGAAATCGAACTGCTCCGGCTTTGCAGCCGCGTTTTCGATAGGTGAAAGCGTCGTGAAAAAAGAACACAGAGAGAGGTTGCTCTCTCTGTTTTGCGCTGTCTCCTGCAGAGGCTGACGTCCTGTTTGAGAGACTGTGCGTGGATCCAGGGCCTTCACATTCGTTGATTCGGATCGTGGTACCTATCATTTTGATGCAAACGTCATTCGTACCTGGTTGACGGCCTCGATCCAGTCAGCGGCTATTTTAATCTGCAGTACCGGGATCTTCATGAACCGCAGAAGACACTTGCAACCCTTTGAGACGACGTAGGCAAGGCGTTGAGGTGTCATATGAGCATATATACTCATTAAGAGGTACTGGCGAGACTCGAAAAGTAAGGATTTGGGAGGTCAGGCGTTAGGAGTTAGGATATTAGCTATATGTGTTTTATTTCATTAGACTTTAAGCGGTGACGTAGTTAGCTGTATAGACGGCTAGAACGACGTACTTTATGAACAGTTGTGGCGTGGCGATGTCAATACACCTATACCGTATGTGCTCCCCATGAAGCAACAAGAACATTAGCCATATCGCGATGTATATCTTATGCCACCATTAATGCCTCAGACTCCAGCACTCATGCCACAAGTCATACATACATATGAGGAACCCCATATTGAGAATATTCCTCGCCCATTGTCGGCTGAGCACATGGTCCGCCTTTCCTCTCTCGTAGAGAAGCATCGGTAAGCTTTGATATCTTTTCAGCATCATCAACGACTGGGTAACTTGCTTTCTAAGGCTCAGGTTTGTACACCGCGTCCTTGCATAAAAGCACGACCTTCTTGAAAAATCGCCTCCATTCCAGGGGATCTCCCTTGAGTTTCACGAATCGGATCTCGAGCAATTCCAGAGATTCTGAGCGATAGTACCGATCAAGTAAGATCTCGCCATGTAAGCCTTGCTTGCGATCGTCGACAGTCTTGACCTTCAGCGTGGCCACATGATCCCCTTGACCAATAGGGGGATATGTTGATGGCAACGGTACATTTAAGTTATGTAGTGCGTCGCTCAGCATTTGTACGAGGAGTTGTGGGGGCATATGGGAGAAAAACCGCGTAAAGGAATGTGCAGGCACGATATCTCTAAATTGTCTGGCGCGCTGCGTCAACGTCAGGGGGACGCCGCGCGTTTGCGAGAACTGACTCATGGATGGTTCCTCGGCGAGGTCGTCGAAGATCTTGGCCGGTTGCGTATGAGATGCAAAAGATGCGTCAGCTTGAGCAACCGGTTGTGTTGAGGACATTCCCTGTACCCCGAAGGGGCGCAAGGTTGGCCGCTCCCATTCAAAAAGTGCATCGTTGATGGGGGTTTCGGGCTGACTCGCAGCCGTTTTCGGGGCGTAAATTGAGCGGCCGCCATCGATGCCCATGGCATCCTGGGATGGGCGCGAATGCTGCTGGGACAGGGTAGGCTGTTGGCTCAGGTCGATATGGAGATTTTCAAGCATCTTAGTTGCAAGATTAATCTGGTCGCAAATCTGACCATCAGCAGCGAGGAACTTGTTACTTCGTGTATACCAGGGATGTTGTCGAATCTGGGCGAAAGAGAATCGTTTTTTAGGCTCGATGTTGATCATGCCTCTGAGTAACGAAAGTGCATCGGCCGGGATCCTTTCCCATATTTTATCGGAGCTGCGGCCATTTGTCTTTCGATATTCGTGGAACTCCCAACTCTGCGCTGTGGGCTCTTCCCAAGGTGTATTACCAACAAGTAACACGAAGAGGATGACACCACAAGACCATATGTCCACTAGCTCAGGGGCGTACTTGGTTACCTCAGCAGACTGCTTACCGGCCCTGGCACAGGCAAGGACTTCGGGGGCAATGTAGGGTGGGCTGCCGCACATGGTGGCGCTTAGCTTCTTTTGATCTTTGTACTCAAACATGGTCGCCATGCCAAAATCAGCAAGCTTTAGATTCCCGGTCTCCGACACGAGAATGTTCTCGGGCTTAAGATCACGATGAGCCACGCCCTTGGAGTGGATAAAACTCACACCGCTTATGAGCTGAAGAAAGTAGACCTGCGCAATGTCCTCTGTCACACCTACATCGGCCTCTATCTTGTCGAAGAGGTCGCCGCCCTCGGCATACTCCATGGCTATCCAGCGCCAAACATGGTCCTCACCAGTGGCGAACCATTCGATCACATTCGGATGTTGGCCAATATGAGAATGCAGTGACACCTCCATAGCGATCTGTTTAGCAGAGACACGGCCATTTTTCAGCGCATAACCCTTGTGTATCAGCTTGACTGCAAATACTGGGGATGATGCATCAAGGGGGATCGCTTTCTTGACACTGGTAAGTAAGTCAGCAAGCAAAATTGAAATGCGAAATGGGGGAGGATATTGTTAAAGAGTCGTACGACGCGTATGCTCCTCTTCCTATCGTCTTCGAAATTATTCTGAAGGGTAGATCACTCGGCAGAGGATCCAGCTGAGACTGTTGCGTATCATTAGAAAGAGAGCTGGTTGACATCCCCTTCCAAGAAATGGGCGGCAGACAAAGTGAAGCGCTTGCATTGGGGCTAAAATCATGTAAAAGAGAAACAAAAGCACTCATAAGGATAACGGTGCTTTAGGAAGGCTTAAACTTACCATGTTGCCTGGATTAAGGTGAGTATGAGGTTGGTAGACTTAAGGATAGATGATGATGAGGCCAGACGCGCCTAGAAGTCAAAGGATTGGTGGTGGGGGAATAGGCCGGGATTGATTTTCGCGCTGAGGGAGTTTAACCTACCTCCTAAGGTGACTAGATAAGGATCATTGATCCCGACGCGGCCGGATGATTCAGGTTCACAGCCTCTCTTTCCTTTTTCCTGTTGCATGTGTGTCACTTTTGCTCGTTCCCGCTCCTCACTGTGAAGGCGTCTTTCGTTGCTTGATGTACACTAATAGGTAGGTAGGCAACCTACCTAGTACCTTAGGTAGGTACCTAGGTACTTAAGTAAGTCACGCACTGTACAAGCACAGTAGGGAGCTACGGTTAAGTACCTACAGAATACTTATTACACTACCTAACCTAACCTACCTAGGTAACTTAGGTAACTATCTGGGTATACCTAGTTAGCGGGTTGTTTCTTCTAACAGTGGTACCTACCTGAGCGCATGTACTTCTTATCGCTTAGATAAGTACAAACCCGTACGGTGCCTATCAAAATGCCTGCAATGGCGGGCGGTTGCTAAGGGCCTGTGGGGCGGACAAAAACGTGCAAAAACTAATACTAATTATAGGAGGGGCCTTGTCATTCGTTGTTTACACTCGATTCCAAACAAGGAACCGAACCAACCGTCCGGCTTGTGACTTCTCCCTCCCATCATCATCCTCAGCTCTAATTCTAACATCTGCGGCGTGCGATACCTATCTTCTCTACTTCTCTACCTCCTTTTTACCTATAAACCTCAGGTAATGAAGGGAGGTAACCCCACATACTCTAGCATCAGGTTTGTACACCCCGACTTCACTCACGTTCTTCATCGATTCCCTCCAAAGCATGCCAATGCATATGTAGCTCATTGTAAGGCGCTCGATAATCAATCCATTGTTGTTAGTGTTACGTGTGGGATAGTCTTCTATTTTGGGCACAAAAGAATGCATCTCTCATACTAACAGTCGTTGCATTCTAGGTCGACTTGTTTTGTACTTTATTTTCTTTTTGATCTTTCACGTTTCCATTTGCAGAAGGACGGTCTTCGAATCCAGTAGCACGGCAAATAGCAACTCGGATCCCAAGTCTTCGTCTACGTGATCATCTGCCGACCTGTAAGACC